ACGTACATTAGCACTGTCATCGTTTGACAAATTAATCGAATGAACCAATAAGAATTAGCTTAGTCACAGGGTCCGTTGCCTCCCCCCCCCCCTCCAACTGTTATAGACGTTTCATTGCCGTTCTTGAGAGATTACCCCCGACAGATGGGAAGGTAGAGTAGTCGATTGCGACGGCTAAGAAATGACAATACGCGTATCATCGCGGCGTGACGTCCAATTTCTCAAGCATCTCATTCTTAATACGACGTATTGTGCATACGTAATTGGCCACCCCCCATCACCGGCCAGCCTGGCAGAGCAATCGTCATGCTCTGCCCAGCTGTCTGCTGCTGCTACACTGCTGCCAATCTGAACAGCCTCGAACTCAATTATAATGCTGCGCGCTCACCAAGCATGTCACCCCGGCGCTCTGGACCAGGTAAACACCCGCAAAGTGCACATTGAGCCCCCTCCAATGGGCACGACTAATGTGTTGTATGCAGGGTATAGCATCGTGATGTGTAATGGATCGCGTCAGTACGACCTACCCACCAATTTCCCACATTTTCACCCAAAAATTTTCCGTCGAGGGAGGGGGGGGGGAGGCACTAGCGCATGTGAAACAGGAAAAACCACGAAAAAAGGACATCTGGGAAAAGTTTGCCCCAACTCCACGTGCGACCCCCTCCTCTCACCAGCGACCAGGTACGACCCCCCCCCTTTGATATAAAGACTGTGTACCCTGGTTGTATGAGCGAATATGAAGCTTATTCACATAAAGCACTCAGTAGCCCCGTATGTCTCCCAGGGATGTTTTAGGATATCCAGGAAGCGCTAAAGTTCATGGGAATCCCTGCAAAAGATGTGTAAGCCATTCGTTCACGAATGCACTTAGCCGTGACGTTGTGCTGCTCTTCTCAGACCCTTCATGCGTGTGAGGATCGATTCAGCGAAAAGTACAGTAGCGCAGCACATATCAGCAAAGCGCATCCCACCCCTTGTGTGCGTGCTGCTGCACTTTACGAGTCATCCTCCCATCGTCACCCCACGACGACGCTAGGCAAACCCTGGCATTTACATTATACGCAGTGACAGAGCTTTCATTCAAAATGTCAAGAGCTTTCAGACAACAGAAGGAATATTTCAGGATCTCACTGAAGACCTAACGCTAACGGGTACTTGCGTAGTTGAGGGCAAGGGGGGGGGGAGAGGGGACTATCCGGTCACCCTTCTGTACCTTCTCCAAAAAGGCTTACGCTAAGAGCGCTGATGGCCAAAGTTGCCAGGGAAACAGGCAGGATACAGTATCACCTAAAATTGTGCGTAAAATAGAGTGTGTCAGCTACGCGAGTGCACCCAATTGGGCCAGGAAGCAAAAACGACGCAGACTCCACTTTCCACCTAGCCAGGTGCTACTTAGGCGAAACTTAGGTGCTGTTGTGTGCATTTTCTGCTCCTACGCTCTTAGCACGCGCAGTTTGGGGTACTGTATCCCACCTGTTTTCGTGAACTTATAATTTAGTGCCATAGTCCGAAATAACTCCGCAGAAAAGTCATAATTCCCACTAAGCCTAAGCTTTGATTACTGTAAGGGATACAAAGATCTGGCCCAGCGGTCCCCTCCTAACCACGTTAGCTTTCATGTGCCTACCAGGGCACCCATTCACTATGGAGCGTGGGAAGAGGGGGGGGGCACGTTTTGTAAAACATTAGCAGTCAATATACCGCGAAAATTTGCTGAAACTAGTCAAGAAACCAGACGTCTAGTGCAAAAGTTCGTCACGTTGCGGTAGGATAGATACGGTAATTTTGCAAGAGTTTTTCAAACCAGTGAGCTCTGCCTGCATCATTCCCCATTTCTCAGAATTCTTTTTATAGCGAACAGCATTTCGTGCAGAAAGGCACGAAGAAACGAAAACAAGGTTTTTGCCTAGGCCTAGGAAGGAGGAGCTTCAAACTAGCTGAACCATTTTTTATCTAAGGCAATATTCTATTCTAGACTACTTTTCTTCAAGGGTGCCATGTGATTCAGGAGGGCCATTTTTCATGCCAAAGCCACGCCATGCCGTCTCGGTGGAGAAAATTAGAATTGAACTACTTTTATGACACTAAACGTGACGAAACTATGAAACTAAACGGGGACAAAATCATGTCAGAACATGTCATGCCGTGTCTTGGTGAGAGGAGGCAGACGTACAGGCATGACGTAGCTTCTCATGGTTGGAGGGGGGCCTGCCAAGCATATAATGCCCGTTTTCAAAGGAAGTTTTAGCCTTTTCAGATGTCTTGGTGCTCTACTCGCTCGCTATCTTGTAGTCAGGGAACATCACCGTTGGGTGAAATTTTGGCAAAATACAACCCTGCTCGAATTTCTTCTTTCGATACGACCCCTTTAACTACATACCTCCTACCAAATTTTACCAGAACTACACCACCGAACAAGGCGAGGGAAGCAGGTTTATGCCCCGTTTACAACGAGAAAATCAACAATTGAAATATTTCTTTCGAGACCAAATAAGACCCCGCATCGGGTTCTCCACAGCGATAGTGCGCCCTTTGTAGCATATAAAATGATATTGATACCACTTCATAGCCTCACAAGTATTTACAGGTTTCCACAAGATGGCCCGGCAAAACTCGTTCCAGTTTGTAGTTTTACAAGAGTTTACAGGTCTTTCACAAAATAGCTCCAGAACAGTTTACAAGTCGCCACAAAATTGCTCGTCACGTTGACAACTATTAACTAAATGCCCCCTCTATGCCAAAATGCGCCTCAAACTAGTACTAGTTCCAATGTTTTACATGTGTTCACAGAACTTTACAATGTTGCCCGGGCTCTGTACAGGACTTTACAAAGTTATCCGACTCTCAATGACAGCCCCGCGCTCATTCACTACGTAGGTGTCCTTTCTTGTTCAAGTAGTGCGACCCCCGATCTCTAGGAATATCCCACTTTCGCGGCTTCGCAGTGAGCAGTGGAGGCGCTGCGGAACTCAAGAGTAGCAACTTTGACGCCTCCCCAGTTGTCCCGCCCACCGAGACTCACCACCGTAATTCATTTTTTTCTTCATTTTTAGTTGGTACCATTGAATGACACAAAGGAACGATTACTGAGCCAAAAGCGGCGGGATATGCCTTTACTGGTATAAAACGAGCAAGTTCGGAGTGAGGCCACCAGAGGTTCTTGCGGTGTTCTCCACGATTTTTTGCTTTTTTCTTCTTTCTAGAGTCACCCAGCGTCTATAGGTTTGTAACTGCTACTACCTATAATAGGCAACCGCAGGGTTCGTCTTTAAATTTAAAGGATTTTAAAAAATTGGTCAGCAGATTCCCAGAAATTTGTAAAATAGACTCCCAGAAGTTTTTGAAGCCAATAGGCTGACGCTCATCTAACCATGCCCCATAAAACATTTGGGCTTTGCAAAATCGCCCTTATTGACGTCTCAATCAACTATTCACGATAACCTTCTCCTGTTTTACAAGGGGGTATTTCTGGCTGTCAAAGGGACCAAAGGACACATCAATTTTCTCTTGTAGTGCAAGTGAACCTGCTCTTCGAATACATTGAGTATTTCTGACGCGCGTCACAGGCCAGGCCAAACATTACATCACGACATCACCACTACAACCACCACCACCATCACTATTCAGCACACAGTGCAAGTGAATACGAACACACACCGCACAATACCTCAGATTTATAATAACACGAATCAGGGGGATTCAGATCAGGGCAGGGGGAATTTACAAAATCAAATATATATTATAAATGTGGACGATTGACGATGATGATACATTGCTATACGGACAGGGCCGGATTTCATTGCTACAATGTTCATAAGGTATATAATTAATATACAAAATATGCAAATGCATTGATAGAGTCACACTATGATATATCTGAATAAAGCAATCCGAGAATCTTCAACAATATAATAGAAATGTGTGGTTATAGAAAATTTCTGGCGTGATCAATTTCGTTTTTGGGTTAGAGAGAAATTTATCGGCAGTTTAGTGAAGAACTGAAGAAGAAAGAAAAGAAACGACGATGGTGATGATAAAAAAGTAAGACTGCGTTCACACTTTGCGACAGCGCGCACTAGCGTCTCGACGGACTAAGGAAGTATAGTTATCGATCTGGGCGAACGCCTGCGTCTAGGAGTGGTAGAGAGTATGACGAAGTAGGAGGGTAACAGAGAGCCGCATTAGGCGTCGTGAAATTGCAGCGTGTGCAACCGCACCGTACAACTACACTACACCGTACATTAAATTGCATAATTCTGTGCTTTAGTTGTACGGTGCGGTTGCACACGCCGCAATTTCACGACGCCTAATCCAGCTGTTTGCTACCCTCCTACTTCCCCATACTCTCTACTTTTCTGGACGCTGGAAGACGCTAGATCGATACCTATACTTTCCTAGTCGCTGGCGCTGGCGCACGCTCGAAATGATGACGCTGCCGCAAAGTATAAACCAAGCCTAAGAATGAAGGATGATGATGATGAATGAATGATGAACGTACGCTCAGCATACGCATAGACTCTCAGCAAATGAAAAAAAATAAACTCTGATAATGGAATGATAGCACAGTTCACACGTGTCGCAAATAAAACGCTCCGTCTACATACAGCTCTGGGTTAATTTTTCTTAAGTAAAATAATCTGGGTATATATGTGTAGATATGAGGAAGGAGTCACATCAAATAATCAACACATATTTAAATAAATATAATAGGCAATAATCAATTGGTTAGAGAAGAAAATGAAATGAAATGAAAAAATGAAGGGCGGGCGGGAAGACCGCTACACGTAAATATATTAGTTAGGTGATAATACTAGTAGTACCCTCTATGTACTCGTGATGTAAAAATGGAGGTGAAATAGAAATGTGTGTAGGCAGCGACAACAACGAAATACGCATAAGCATTCACAACGACGACATCATTACAACACCGTGGCCTACCGAACTCGGACCTCCACTGGATGATGATAGTTTGTGTAGGAGTTGTAAGCTGTAGCTCATCACACGGTTAGCATCGCTACACCTTTCGCTTCTGGTTCACGTGGTGCGTCAATATCGGCCCAAATTGACGACATCAAATTGTAAGCGGTTGATGAAATGCTGCAAATACAGGAAGATTAAGTGAGACATAAGGTCCAAAGTTAACGGGGGTGCAGAAGAGATGTGGTACAAAAGGTCTCGCCGTACTTTGGGAATCTTCAGCGAAGTGGGTCGCATTTAGCTTTTGAAAAAATGTTCGCTTGTTGATTTTTCTCAGTCCTTCCCTTTTCAAGTGAGCTATACCCTCCCTCACCGCTTACGGCCTTACGGCGGTTTTATCTCTGGAAAACATCTGGAAAAAGACTCGAGTGCGAAGGGAGGCTGCGAGAACTTTATAAAGGGATGGAGAAGTTGTCCACGTCGGATGGAAGATTAGGAAGGGGGAGGGAGCAGAGGAAATTTGGAGAGGGGTCGTACTTTGCGGAGTTTTTGATCAACAGCAGAGTGTGCCCTGGCGCCAAACGACTGCTATCCAGCTGTCATTTCACAGGGTTTAGGTGTTAAGGCTGGGCCAGAGGTAGCTGGGGGGAGGGGGTGGAGGGGGTGAGAAACCACACGACAGCGCGACCATACCGTGCCCGTGTCTGCACCCTTTCA